TCTCCAACCTCACAGCGTACTCTCCGATCTTCTCGGCAACGCGGAATGGGCCATGCCATAAGTGTGCCAGCTTTTTCGCATTCCCTTCACGCACTCGATCTAGGTATAGCCAGACCCTTGATCCAGACTACAGGGTGCGGTCGTGCTAGATCATTATGCGTATCGGCCCGATCCGCGATCGCTTCTCGTAGGCGCTGGTTCACCTGTTCCCTGGCCTGCTGATAATATTTCTGCATCCGATACCGCCACCTTCTGGGATCTCGATCGTGCTTGCGAGTACTCCCCACAGGGATCACAGCTTCCAGGGTAGATCTAGGATCCCAACCATGTATCATGTAGAAAGGTGTTTCGCCTCGGATCCGATCTCTTGCGGTATTGATCGCGAAGATAAGTCGTTCGGCATACTCATCCCAATCTCGTTGATCCAGATCTTCCACGTACATCTTAAGAGCTCTGGTGGTTGTCTAACGTTCCGCAGATCCATTGGCTTGGGGTCTGTATGCCATAGTGGCCCATTGGCGTTGTCCCAGGATTCTGTTAAACGACTTAAAAAATCAGACATAAAGCCTGGCTCCCGATCATGTCGGATCACGTCGCTCGCGCCAAATCGCCGAAAGACACATTCTTCGTAAGTCTCGGCGATTGTTTGAGCGGATCTGGAGGCACTAGCTTTGGTGATCACGTATCATGAGAACAGATCCACGAAAATCAGCAATTCGGTGTTGCCGTTGAAGGATCTAGGCAACGAGGGTATATGATCCATGGCAATGATCTGAAATGGGTACGTTGCCTGAAGGTTACCAGGCGACTCGCCCTGGATCCGAGGTCTTCCTTTGCCTGTCTCACAGTCGACGCATTCCCCCACATACCGTTGTACACTCTTGTATAAACCCTTCCAGTGGAAGTGATCACGGATCAGGTGATAGGTGCGCCGACCCCTTGGTGACCGCCCTGTAGACTCGTGTGATAGTGGTGCAAAATGTCCTGTTGAAGCGTCTCAGGTATCACTAGTTGCATCAGCTTATCTCGATCTGCGATCGCTTCCTTAGATGTCGGGCAATAGAAGAGTAGATTCTGCTGGTCTACTTCGTAATTCATGGCAATGGATCCGAACATTCTAGCCTCTTCTCGTGTCAGATCCCGGATCTCCCCGGCTAGATGTTTCTTCAAGCCCATGATCCACGATTCCTCGTCCTGCGCTTGTCGGATCCGCTCGATCCGTAGCTCTCTCACGACTTCCTCTCGTAAGGAGTCTGGATCAGATCCCACACGTCTAGCCTTAGATCGGGTCGTCACCACTGATACCCGTACGGTTTCTACTTCGACCTTCACTATCAGGACCTCATCCAACCTATTCAAAGTCATGAGATCCTGGATCTCTGCATCAGACTCTATCTCGATCCCACATTGCTGTTGTAGAGCAGCACCTGCTAGGCTGTCAGCACTCCCATTCCAGTCTCGTTTGACGTGCAATAGTTCATGATCTGGCCATTTACGCAGTCGTTCCAAGGCTCGCTGACGTAACAGTGTCAGACCTGGCGCCTTACAATCAATTTCTCCTCGCACTTGTCGGATCACCAGGTTTGAGTCTCCGCAGATCACCAGACGCTGTGGATCCAGATCTTCCAACAGATCCAGACATAGTAACAACCCATGGTATTCTATTCTGCCTCATTCACCGTCAAGCCTTCGGCATATCCTGATCTAGCTTTCAGCACTCTCCATTCGGGCAACTTCCACTCACAAGACCGCGCTGTAGGCGCACCTCTCTTGACACGAGCCGATCCATCAAAACTGACGACGTATAATTCCTCATCTTGTCTGATCGTGGGGATCGG